TAATCTGGGTGCAACAGACAGGACGTGACGTGACTCTGGATGATCCGCTGTGAGGTGACTTGACTCTGGATGATCAGCTGTGAGGTGACGAGACTCTGGACAAACAGCTGAGAGGTGACTAGACTCTGGCAGATCAGCTGAGACTTGACTTGACTCAGCAATGGAAGCTGTGACTTGACTTGACTCATGAAGATCAGCTGTGATTTGACTTGATTCAGGAAGATCAGCTGTGACTTGACTTGATTCAGGAAGATCAACTGTGACTTGACTTGCCTCATGAAGGTCAGCTGTGACTTGACTTGACTTATGACAATAAAATGTGACTTGACTTGGTTCATGAAGATAAGCTGTGACTTGACTTGCCTCATGACGATCAGCTGTGACTTGACTGGACTCAGGAAGATCAGTTGTGACTTGACTTGACTCCTGACGATCCACTGTGACGTGACTTGCCTCATGAAGAACAGCTGTGACTTGACTGGCCTCATGAAGATCAGCTGAGACTGGACTTGCCTCATGACGATCAGTTGGGACTTGATTGAACTCAGGAAGATCAGCTGTGACTTGACTTGACTCCTGACGATCCACTGTGACGTGACTTGCCTCATGAAGATCAGCTGTGACTTGACTGGCCTCATGAAGATCAGCTGTGACTTGACTGGCCTCATGAAGATCAGCTGTGACTTGACTGGCCTCATGAAGATCAGCTGTGACTTGACTGGCCTCATGAAGATCAGCTGTGACTTGACTGGCCTCATGAAGATCAGCTGTGACTTGACCAGACTCATGATAATAAACTGTGACTTGATTTGATTCGTGACGATCGACTGTGACTAGACTCGACTCAGGAAGATCAACTGTGACATAACGGGGCGATGTTGTGTGCGCCATTTTGCGATCAGGCTCCGCTGTTGCCGCCATTTTGTGAGCGTGCTCTGGTACAGCTGCCATTTCAGTCACAGACACTGTGTCGCTCTTCCTCTGCGACACCCACAGTAAACAAAGATCCGACAGTCAACAAAG